ATCAACAGATGAATGGATAAACAAACTATGGTACATACACACAATGGAGTATTACGCAATGATAAAGAACAATGATAGATCTGTGAAGCATCTCATAACATGGATGAAACTGGAGGCCATTTTGCTGAGTGAAATAAGTCAATCACAAAAGGACAAATATTGTATGAGGCCTTTATTGTAACAACTCATGAAAAGTTCACACACAAAAAGTAACAATCTTTGTTGGTTATGAGGGTTGGGAGGGGTGGGGGGGAATACTTAATAGACATTAGATAAGTGGCAACTTTGGTGAAGGGTGAAGTTACTCCTGAGGTTCACCGTTCAGCCAGGGATTGGACAGCCCCATAAAACAAAACGGGACTAATGAGGCACAGCAGTCCAGGGACAAGGACTAGAAGGCAGAAGGGGACAGGAAAGCTGATGATAGGGAACCCAAGATTGAGTAAAGGCAGTGTTGACATGTAGTGGGGTTGTTAACCATTGGTCATAGTGCAATATGTATACTAACCACTTAATGAGAAACTATTTTGTTCTGTAAACTTTTATCTAAAGTGAGAATAGCAGCACAACTGGAAGAATGTAATTGATGTCACTGAATTGTACATGCAGAAATTTTTTAAATGGTGTATCTTTGGCTACGTATATTTTCATAAAAAATAAAGGTCCTCCGAGGCCGAGAAGGGAGACTGTTGACATGTCGTGGGATTGTTAACCGATGTCATAAAACAGTATGTGTACTGACTGTTTAATGAGAAACTATTTGTTCTGTAAACCTTCACCTAAAGTGCAATAAAAAAAAAAGAATTCAAAAAAAGAAAAAAAAAAAAAAAGAAAACAAGATGGAAGGAATACACAGAGTCACTGTACCAAAAAGAATTGGTCAACTTGCAACCATTTCAGGAGGTAGCATATGATCAAAAACTGATGGTACTGAAGGATGAGGTCCAAGCTGCACTGAAGGCATTGGCGAAAAACAAGGCTCCAGGAACTGATGGAATACCAGTTGAGACGTTTCAAGAAATGGATGCAAGGCTGAAAGCTCTCACTCGTCTATGCCAAGAAATTTGGAAGACAGCTACCTGGCCAACCGAGTAGAAGAGATCCATATACGGGCCCATTCCGAAGAAAGGTGATCCAACAGACTGTGGAAATTATTGAACAATATCATACGAAAGTAAAATTTTGTTGAAGATAGTTAAAAAAATGGTTACAGTAGTACATAGACAGGGAACTGCCAGAAATTCAAGCCAGATTCAGAAAAGGATGTGAAACAAGGGATATAAGTGTTGATTTCAGATGGATCTTGGCTGAAAGCAGAGAATACCAGAAAGATATTTACCTGTATTTCACTGACTATGCAAAAGCATTAGACTGTGTGGACCATAATAAATTATGGGTAACATTTCAAAGAATGGGAACCAGAACACTTAATTGTGCTCATGAGGAACCTGTATACAAACCAAGAGGAAGTCGTTCGAACAAATATTGTGTGGTTTAAAATCAGGAAAGGTGTGTGTCAGGGTTGTATTCTTTCACCATACTTATCCAGTTGTATGCTGAGCAAATAAATAATCCAAGAGGCTGGACTGTGTGAAGAAGAACATGGCATCAGGATTGGAGGAAGACTCACTAACAACCTGCGATATGCAGATGACACAACCTTGCTTGCTGAAAGTGAAGAGAACTTGAAGCACTTGCTGGTGAAATGAGAGATTACAGAATTCAGTACGGATTACACCTCAATGTAAAGAAAACATAAATCCTCACAACTGGACCAATAAGCAACATCATGATAAACAGAGGAAATATTGAAGTTGTCAAGGATTTCATTTTACTTAGATCCACAATCAATGCCCATGGAAGCAGCAGTCAAGAAATCAAATGATGTATTGCATTGGGCAAATCTACTGCAACAGACCTCTTTAAAGTGTTAAAAAGCAAAGATGTCACTTTGAGGACTATGGTATTTTCAATTGCCTCATATGCATGCGAAAGCTGAGCAACGAATCAGGGAGACTGAAGAATTGATGCCTTTAAATTATGGTGTTGTTGAAGAATATTGAATATACCATGGACTGCCAGATGAAGGAACAAATCTGTCTTGGAAGAAGTACAGCCAGAATTCTCCTTAAAAGGGAAGGTGGAGAGACTTGTCTCATATACTTTGGACAAGTCGTCAGGAGGGACCAGTCCCTGAGAAGGAAGGACATTATGCTTGGTAGAGTAGAGGGTCACCGAAAAGGAGGAAGACCCTCAACAAGATGGATTAACACAGTGGCTGCAACAGTGGGCTCAAACATAGCAAGGATTGTGAGGATGACATAGGACCCAGCAGTATTTCATTCTGTTGTACATACGGTCGCTGTAAGTTGGAACTAACTGGACTGCACTTAACAACAACAGTCTGTACCTGAGCAGATGGCTGCACCTTTTTCACAGGGAGCCGCTGGATAGGTCTGAACCACCAACCTTTCAGTTAACAGCCGAGCTTAACCGTTGCACCACCAGGGCATGAGTAAAGCTAGAGAAAGTGGGGAGTGGAACTTCACTAAAGGACATGGCCTACTGGAATTAAACAAACAAAAAAAAAAAACTATTGCCATGAGTCTCTTAGGACTCATAGTAACCCTATAGGACTGGGTAGAACTGCCCCATAGGGTTTCCAGGGAGCAGCTGGTGGATTTGAACTGCCAACCTTTATGGTTAGTAGCAAATCTCTTAACCACTAAGTCACCAGGGCTTCAGAGAAAGGAACAGTAAGGATACCTTGAGGCACTCTCCATAGAAGGTTAGTGGGAGGGACATAAGAGAAAGGGCGTGGTCCTTTGCAAAGGGGCGGGCACTAGGACGTAGGGGCGGAGCCTGAGGCACGCTAAGCGCTTGAGGACGGAAGAGCAATTAGACAGCAAAGTAGGCAGGGCTTCAGAGGAAGGGCGTGGTTCTCTGGAACAGGACCAGGTTGTTACAGGGAGCCCTGGTGACGCTGTGGTTAAGTATTTGGCTGCTAACCAAAAGGGCAGCAGTTTGAATCCACCCCCTGCTCCTTGGAAACCCTATGGGGCAGTTCTTCTCTCTCCTATAGGGTCACTATGAGTCCAGTAGACTTGACAACAACGTGGTTTTTTGGTTTTGTTTTTTTACAACAGTGAGGAAGTAGCCCTGGTGGCGCAGTGGTTACAGCGCTTGGTTGCTAAGGGAAAGTTCAGTTGTTTGAACCCACCAGCTGCTCCACAGGAGAAAGATGTGGCAGTCTGCTTTCCTAAAGATTAAAGCCTTGGAAGCCTTATGGGGCAGTTCTACTCTGTCCTATAGGGTCGCTATGATTCTGAATCGACTGGCCTGGCAATGGGGTTTTTTAATAGGATGACTGAGAAGGAACCCTGGTTGCGCAATGGTTAATTGCTCAACTGCTAACCCAAAGGCAGATAGTTGGAGCCCACTAGCCTCTTGGTGGGGAGAAAAGACCTGGCAATCTCCTCCTGTAAAGATTACAGCCTAGGAAACCCTACGGGGCAGTTCTACTCCGCCCCAGGGGGTCGCTATGAGTCAGAATGGACTCAACGGCGCCCTAAAGCAGGGATACGGGCGAAGGCGTTGTCTAAGAGATTGGTCCTGGTAGAAGAGGATTGAGTGTAGTCCGGCAGATGGACTAGTCTTGGGAAAAATGGACCTAACCAGATTGGGGACAGGGAACTGGAACACCAGGATTGTTTGGAAGCCAAGCTTCCAAGGGCGTGGAGCTCCGTGCTGGGCTTCAACTCCCTCGCACCCGACTCCCTTTCCCCACCGTCTCCAGAGCAGCCTGGACAACATGTCCTGCATCCTGGTCTGCTTCCCAGGGACCCCCAAGCCTTGTGAAGAGGCGATCAGGAGGGAGCGAGCGCTGGACTCCACCGTGGGCAGCAGGGTCACCTGCGAGCAGGCGCCAGAAGCCCAGCGGGAGGGACGGTAGACAAGCAGGGGCTCCTCCACAATCCTGCCTCCTTCTCAGCTCTGTTTCTCTGCCTAGGAGCCCCCCGCCTGAATGGGGACTTCAGGACTCTGGCCTTGGAGGACATCCCGGGTGCACTGCCTGGGGGTAGGGCTGGACTGCAAGCGACAGGATGAGGGTGGGAGGGGGAGAGCCTCTCTTTGCTCTCCAGGGTCACTGTCATCACTGAACCTTATTCTTAGCTCTGCCAGGCCTCAGAAGGGCTCTGGGAGGTAAGGACCCCGTGGAGTTTTTTTTTTTTTTTTTTTTACCTTAAATTTTACTTACGGAGCCCTGGTGGTATAGTGGTTAAGAGCTCACTGCCCGCCAGAAAGGTCGACAGTTTGAATCCACCAGTCAGTCGCTCCTTGGAAACCCTGTAGGGCAGTTCTACTCTGTCCTATAGGGTCGCTAGGAGTCCGAATCGACTCGACTGCAACGGGTGGCGTAGTGATCGGGTGGTATAGTGGTGAAGAGCTCGACTGCTAACCAAAAGGTTGGCGGTTCGAACCCACCAGCCGCTCCTTGGAAACCCTGTGGGGGCAATTCTACTCTGTCCTTATAGGGTCGCTGTAAGTCGGAATCGACTCGACAGCAATGGGTTTAAATTTTATTTATTTTGTTATTGTTGAGAATATACACAACAAAACATACACCAATTCAAGTTTCTACATGTCCGTCGTATATTTCTACATCTACATGTACACTGGTTACATTCTTCGAGTTGTGCAACCATTCTCAGCCTCCTTTTCTGAGTTATTCCTCCCACATTAGCATAAACTCACTTCCCCCTAGGGTTCCTATCTAATCTTTGCAGTTGCTGTTATCAGTTTGATCCCATATAGATAGTTCTTAAAAGAGCACAATGCTCAAGGCAGACCTCCTTTTTTACTAGTTAGACTAAGCTATTGTTTGGTTTTAAGATGATTTCAGGGGATAATTTTGGTTTAAGGTTTAAAGATTATCTCAGGACAGTAGTTTCAGGGCTTCATCCACTCCCCATGGCTCCAGAAAGTCTAGAGTCCATGAGAATTTGAAATTCTGTTCTGCATTTTCCCCCTTTTGATCAGGATTCATCTATGGAATCTTTGATCAAAATGTTCAGTAATGGTAGCCAGGTACCATCCAGTCCTCCAGGTCTCATGGCAAAGGAGGCAGTTGTTCATGGAGGCAGTTAGCCACACATTCTATTTTCTCCTCCTATTCTTGACTGTCCTTCTTCCTCTGTTGCTTCAAGTGAATACAGATCAATTATTGTGCCTTGGATGGCCGCTTGCGAGCTTTTAAGACCCCAGGTACTACACAATGAACTAGGAGGTAGAACAAGGGCACTGAACGTGTTATTAGGTCAATTAACTGGGATAGGACCCTGTGTTTTTTAGTGTTTCTCTTAGGAGCATTCAATCCAGCCATTCCCCCTCTAGATATGGGGAAATTGAGGCCAGAGAGGACAAAGGACTTGTCTGCTATAGTAATAAATTCCCACCTTGAGCCCTGAAGCACCATGCTAGGCATAATGAGGTGATGTAGAGAAGGAACTTTGCTTCATTTTCAAGAAATGTGCTCCTTGCAAGACTCTATAAGATCCCTGGGTGGTGTAAGGGGTTTGCACTGGAAAGGTTGGCAGTTCAAACTCAGTGACAACACGGAAGAGAGGCCTGGCAATCTGCTTCCATAAAAATTACAGCCAAGAAAACCCTATGGAGCACAATTCTATTCTGTAACACATGGAGTCACCATGAGTTGGAATCAACTCAATGGCAATGGGTTTGGGTTTAGGTTTTTTTGCAAGGCTCTATAAGGTCCATCATCACAAGCACCACCCCTTCAATCCAGGAATAAGGCAGGAAAATTCAGGGAATCTTAATAATCGGTCTCTAAGGCCGTCTGCCTCCATAAAGATTGTTGTCGTTAGGTGCCCTCGAGTTGGTTCCGACTCATAGCAACCTATGTAGAACAGAATGAAACACTGCCCAGTCCTGCGCCATCCTCACAATCGTTACTATGTTTGAGCCCATTGTTGCAGCCACTGCGTCAATCCATCTCATTGAGGGTCTTCTTTTTCACTAACCCTTTGCTTTACCAAGCATGATTTCCTTCTCCAGGGACTGGTACTTGCTGATACCATGTCCAAAGTAAGTGAGACAAAGTCTTGGCATCCTTGCTTCTAAGAAGCATTCTGGCTGTACTTCTTCCAGGACAGATTTGTTCCTTCTTCTGGAAGTCTGTGGTATATTCAATATTCTTCACCAACGCCATAGTTCAAACGTAATCCATAAAGATTATGGCCTTGGAAACCCTACCGGGAGTTCTACTGTGTCCTAGAGGGTCACTATGAAATCTGAATTGACTAGATGGCAATGGGTTTGTTTGCTTGGTTGGTTTTTGCAAGGTTCTATAAGGCCCATTATCCCAAGCACCACCACCCCTCCACCCAGGAATAAAGCAGGAAATTCAGGGAAAGTTAATAACAGTCCCCTGAGGCCTGAATGAAGTGCAGAGACCCTGAGGACAATATCCTTGAGGATGGTCCAAGTCTTGGAGGGGAGAGTTGTGAGTTGGACTCAGATAGCTGCAGAGGAGAGGTGGTAGGTGGTGAAGGATAAATTAAGGCTTGGGAGCAGGAGTCAGGAAAGAAATGTGAGGGAGGAAGCCGGAGCCAGAGTCCAAATATCTTTGCATGGTAGGGAAGGGAGGTTGGTTATTATCTTTTGAATGAGGGAGAATTGTTGATGGTTTCTCAGCAATGGAAGGAGGTCTTGGTCAGGATTCTTTGGGTTGGAAGTGACAGAAACCCAATGCAACCTCTGACAGAAAACAGGGAATTTATCGGGTCGTCTAATTGAAGTGTTTAGGGACTTAAGGCATAGCTGGATCGAGTTCTCAGATGTTGTCATCAGGAACTGTCTCTTAGCTTTATTTTCTTTGAGTTGGCTTCATTCCCAGGCAGGGTCTCCTCATGAGGTAGTAGAGTTGCCGCTTCAGGCTCACATCCCACCAGCTTACCATCCCCAGTGGAGAGAGGGCACCAGTCCTCCCAGAGCAGGTTTTCACTGGCCCAACTGGGTCACATGTCTGACTAGTCACTGTGTTTCTGATTGGTCTGGCGGGGGTCATATGCCCACCCTTAGCACTTGGAGTTGGGGCTGCTCCATCCAAACCTGACGGATTGAAAGATGGAGAATGGTGGTCCCTCAAAAGAAAATATGAGTGTTGCTTCCACAAGACAAGGAAGTGAATGCTGAGAGGGCAAGATGGGGGTTCCTATTCACTATCTCACACATTTTGCATTACAGAAGGGGCAAGGTGGGGCTGGAAAGCTGCCTTGAGCTTGGAGGCCTGACAGCTATCGTCCTTTGGGGACCCTCCACTCAGCTGGGCCCCCCCCCCAACAACTGAGGAAGAAAACTGACCCTTTCCCCAGCTCCGAGGACCAGCGGAAGGAAAACAAGCCGACGGAGGAACTTCAGAGTGCTTATTCTCCTTTCTCCTAGTTCCCTCTGACAGAAAAGCCTTACACAAGGGGGAAATTCCACTTACCATTCAGACCAAAAAACCCGAAAAAATTTTGAAATATTTAGAGCTGAACAGAATCCGAGAAACCATCCAGTTCATTAAGCTTCTCTTCCCTTTCCATTTTCATCTTTTTTTTTTTTTTAAATTGGGGATGGTTAGAGTTCTTATTACATTTTAATTACTTAAGTAATTCAAGATATATTTTTCTTGTTAAAAAAACCAATATGATTTACCTAGTCAGTTGGCAAATCCGTGTGGGGTACCTGCTGTGTGTGAGGTCCTGCTTACAACCTTGAGCAAGGCCAGCTGAGACCTCTGTCCCCGGTGGGACTGACCTTCAATAAATAAGATCATCTCAAACACTGACAAGTGTCCCAAGGAAAACAAAACAGGGACATGATAACAAAATGACCAGGGGACCTACTTTGGTCTTTAAAATTATTGTTTTTTGAGTGGGTAATCAATTTACTTGGTTCGAAATTCAAAGGATACAAAATGGTGTACAATGAAAAGTCTTTTTCCATCCCCTACCCTCTGCCACTGAATTTTGCACCACAACGGGGTGCTTTAGACGGGCCTCAGGGAAGGCCTCCGCAGAGGGAAAAGGGATATTGAGCAGAGACCTTACAGAGAAGGAGCTAGCCATGCAAACACCCCAGGGAAAAGTGTCCCAAGCAGAGGGAACAGCCAGTGAAAAGCCCTGGAGACAGGATTGAACTTGGCATTTGCAGGATGAGGCTTGAGATCTTTATCACCAACGAATTCCCCACATTCCCACTTCCCATTTCATTGGTAACTGTTACAGACTGAATTGTGTCTCCCAAAATGTGTGTCAGCTTGGCTAGGCCATGATTCCCAGTATTGTGTGTTGTAAATCCTGCCTCTACAATGTTAATGAGGCAGGATTAGAGGCAGTTATGTTAATGAGGCAGAACTCCATCTACAAGATTAGATTGTGTCTTAAATCAATCTCTTTTGAGATATAAAAGAGAGAAGGGAGCAGAGAGACATGGGGACCTCATACCACCAAGAAATAAGAGCCAGGAGAATAATGTGTCCTTTGGACGCTGGGTCCCTATGCTGAGAAAGAAGCTCCTCAACTGAGGATGATTGATGATAAGGACCTTCCCCAGAGCCGACACAGAGAGAAAGCCTTCTCCTGGAGCTGGCACCCTGAATTTGGACTTGTAGCCTCCTAGACTGTGAGAGAATAAATTTCTCTTTGTTAAAATCATCCACTTGTATTTCTGTTACAGCAGCACTAGATAACTAGAACAGTAACCAGTGTAATGAGGTTGGAGTGGATTTTTCCAGATCGTTCACTCTGCATATTGTTGTGAGGTGCTATGAAGTTGATTTTCTACTCCTAGCAACCAAGCGACAGAGCAGAACTCCCCCATAGAGTTTTCTAGGCTGTAATCTTTAAGGGAGCAGATCACTAGCTTTCTCCTGAAGAACTGCTGAATGGGTTCAAACTGCCAACCCGCTGGGTGGGTTTAAACTTTCAACTTTTTAGTTAGCAGCCAAGCGCTTAACCGTTCCACCACCAGGGCTCCTTACTCTGCATGTACACACATGTATATGTTCCTCTAGCAAATACATGGTATCTTTGGTATTTCCTTGATTTTTTTCATACCATACATATCATTAGGAAACTTGTTTTTTCTCTCAACAATATCATAGAGAGCTCTTCCATGCAATCACACACTCCATGCTTTTTAGCTGATGCCCAGAGGAGGGATGTGCAGTGATTTAGCTATCTGTCCTTCTTTTGATGGCCATTTAGGCTGTTTCTGATTTCCTGCGCCAACGTCATCGCTGCCACAAAGACCATTAAACAGGTTCCTTGTGCACATAGGCAAGGGTTTCTCTAGTGGAGGAGTCTTGCTACCTATTTTGTATGGTACTTGAGCTGAGAACGGAGCCTTGGTGGTGCAGTGGTTAAGAGCTCAGCTGTGCTAACCAAAAGGTCAGCAGTTCAAATCCACCAGCCACTCCCTGGAAATCCTATGGGGCAGTTGTACTCTGTCTTATGGGGTCACTATCAGTCCGAATCGGCAAGGGGTTGGGTTTTGGTTTGAGCTAAGCATGGTTTCTATATTTTTAAAGGGTTGTAAAAAAAAAAAAAATACGTGAAAGAGGCCTTATGTGGTCCACAAAGCCTACAAGATTTACTATTTGGATATTTACAGAAAAAGTCTGCTGAACCCTGGTCTAATATAGGCAGCACCCAGAAGTGCTCACAGATGGGAAAGCAGAGACCCAGAGAGGAGAAAGGACTTGACCAAGGTTCCACAGAACTGAGGTTCTTATTTGATTGCATAAATGTTTGTGGAGCTGCTGCTCTGAATCTGGCAGGGCTGGGTGAAGCCCAGAAATCGATCACGTACACGTCTGCCCCCAAAGAACTCCCACCCTGAGAAGACTCCCGGAGGAACAATTACAAGCTAGGTGGGTCAGGGTTCAAGGTCACCCACAGTAGGATGGAGAAGGGGAGGGGCTTACTCAAGTCTTCATAGAATTCCTGTCAGAGCTTGGCTTAGAAGGTGAGGCGCTCCCCAGGTGAAGGGGGCGTAACAGGGGATCATCAAATCTGCTGGGTCCTGAGAAATGTTGGTTTTACACTCACACCTTGGGGACTCCGGCAAGAGAGCCATAGCCCAGATTCGTTCCCTGCCTCCAGGCCTCAGTTTACCCATTTGCACGCATCTTAGTGATGATTTCTCAGGCTCCTGCCCCTCCGCTAAGCACTTCACCCGGACTAAGTGGCGCTCTCCGGTGGGGGCGTGGCCACTAGGGTGACGTCACTTGGGCGGGGCTAGAGGGACCCGCTGCGGAAGCCTCGGAAGGGGTCCCGGCTCCGTCCAGAGCGGGCGCTTGGGAAAGGGGGCTGCTGGGAACCGACACCTGGGCGGGGGGGGCTCCCCGCCTCCGGGCCCCCTAGATTGCTAGGATAATCCCTCCATCCCCCGCAGGAGAAACTGAGTCATTCCGGGGCGTGCGTGGGGAGGGGGCCACACAGGAGCCCCGCGTCCCGTCACTACCCCGGGCCAGCGCCGCTCCCCCCACCCGCGCCTGTCTCCCCAGCCCCCACCCCCATCCTCACCCCACACCCGGACCCTGCAGCTGTGAGTCAGCGGCCGACCGCGCCCCCTCGGCCCACTTCCTCCTCACCTTCCCGAGGCGCGCGGGCGGGGCGGCCGGGGGCGGTGAGAAGGGTGGGACCCTAGCCACCCATCCCCCTCCTGTGCGGGGGAGGGGGCTAACCCCCCCAGTCACCACCCCCTCATAAACTGACAGAGAAGACAGAGACGCTGGGGGCTCCGAAGGTGGGATTTAAGGGAGAACGTTTGAGAGAATCTGTGCTTAACCAGAGGGTCCGAGCCGTCGCCCCCCAAAATTGAGTAACAGGGAAAGAAATGGAGAAGTCAATGGGGAGGGTGAGAAGAGAGAAATTGTGCCCCTGTTTCGATCGCCCTAAGAATTTCCATACTGGGGGAGACATAGGGATCATGGAAGGATCCCTTTCCCTCCTACCAAGCTACTCCCCCAATTTGGGGGCGACCCCCAGAGTGCACCTCTATGCACTGACTCACGCTGAGAACGAGGAAAATAGCGGAAGTCAAGGGTGCCGCGTTGCCCTTTTAAGCGCCCTCCACCCCCAGCCTTGAGGCGGCCGCGGCCCCTTTAAGGCGCGGGGCATTGTGGGTGTGGGGAGTGGAATTTTGGAACGAAATGTAGCGAAGAGAAGTACAGTAGTAAGAGTAACATTGTAGCCGCCGCCGGCCAAGGGGGCGCGCCGGGGAGGGGACGCCGCACCCCCTTTCTGCCGCAGGAACCCCCATCAAACCCCAGGGGGAGGAGGCGTCCGAGGACCCGCTTCGGCCCCGGCCACGTTCCCCCCAGGAAGCCGGACTCTATGGGGCGGGACCCTGGGGGAGACTGAGCAGAACCTGGAGCCAGCCTCGAACCCCTGAACCGCGAGCCAGGGGCGCCCCGGGAGCCTTCACCCCGTGGGCGCGCCGCCCGCCCGTGAGCAGCCATGAGGTGAGCCGCGAACTGCCGCCGGGCGAGGGCTCCCCGCCCTGCCTTTGTCCCCCCTCCCCCAGCTCGCTCGGGGCTGGAATTTGGGAACTGGGCTCTGGGAGCCTTAGATTTGGGGCCGAATCCCGCTGGACGAGCTCCAAATACTGGCCACCTCCTCATGACTCCCAAGGCTCAGGGTGATGCCGGTGAGGTTCTCCTGGGAGCCCTCAGATTTGGGGGCGCTCCGAGGACTCCTGAATTTTAAAGACTTTTTCAGGGGACCTCCAAGTTGGTGAATTCTCTCCACAGAGATGCCAGGATTCAGGCAAATCTCAGAATCTCCCCAAACCTCAACTCGGAGTATGGGAGGGATTGTGGGGGGCCGCGTTGGGAGCTCTGGAACCTGGAAGAGAGGCTAACCCTTGTTCGCGGGATGTCCTTTTACGTGGCGCTGAAAAAGTCTCCCCAATTGGAACCGCGCTTCCTAACTTCAGGGGTACGTCTTAACCCCATAAATTTGGGGGCAGGGGACACTCATCCTCTTGTGGAGGAGGTTGGTGGTGCGGACGGACTAATGGACCCAGACGCAACCTCGAGGGTCTGGTTGGGACTCCCCTCCCCCGCCCCTCTGCACCCAGTCTTCCCGAAACAGGCCGTGCCTAGGACCGAGTGAGCGCTCCGTGCGGAGGGCGGCTCCCAGGTCCGCAGCCAGCAGGGCGGCCCTTCTCCCCCACCTGCGCGGCCCTGGAGAGGGAGGGGGCGCGGCAGCTGGGGGAAGGGGGGCCTTTGTCTTCCTGACTCACCTGTCGAGACAGCTGGTGGGGGGGGGCGAGCAAGGAGCGCGGTGGGCCGGCTGCTCTTCTCACCCCGGCCCCTCCCCCCTCCCCACCCTCCCCACCCTTGCCGGGCCCTTGGGAGCTGTGGGGTTGGAGGAGGGGGCGCAGGAAAGCTTCAAGGTCATAGCTCTCTCCGCCTGGGACCCAGGCTTCCCAAAGAATTCCAGCTTTCTTCTCAGGAATTTAATCCTGGGGTGAGGGGCCCAAGGCACCCAGGGATTGTATCTTCATGTGGCCTCCCCTAAAACTCCTGGGCTCACCTGAGGGCGGGGCCAGTGCAGGAGCTGGGCTAGGGGAAGGGACTCACCAACCCCCATAATCTCTCCCTTGGGGCCGGAGCCTGACAATACTATCTCCCTTCCTCCACTCTCTCTGGGACTTCCTGCCCCAAAGCCCCCAGCCTAAAGGGGAAGGCCCCGAGGGACTGCTGGGGATTAACCTCCTGGTGCCTGCACCCTCCAACTTCCCCCACACCCTTGCCTCTGATATGGGGTAGCATTCCTTTTTATGATCACTAGAGAACTCCCCTCTCCTCGATTCTTCCTTCTGCTGGGAAAGGGGTTGTTGGAAAATTCGGATTAAGGGGCACCCACAGACACCCTCAAGACTTCCTGGCTAGCTTTCCCCCCATTATAGCAACATCCCTTAAGGTCTGCCCTGGAGAGGGAGCAGTTTGCGGTCTTCCTTCACCCTCTTCCCCTGGGACGGGACGCTGCTCTCCCACTGCCCCCCAGCCCCGCCTCTCGTCCCCCCCAAGAGCGTTTCCGGTCCCGCGGATGGCGGATGTCCGAGTTAGTGCTGCCTCACTCGCTGCGAGACCGTAAAAGGGCAGGAGCAGCTTCTGGGCCGGCCTCCCGCCCTCCCCTCAGCCCCAAGGCCCTGGCCCTCCCATAGGGCCCCCCTCTTGTGGTGGCAGTGGCTGAACCTCCCACCTCCTGGGGGGTGGGCAGAAGTTGATCCTATCCCACTAGAGGGTCACTCCCACCTCCTGAAGGGTCTCCCCTTTGGGTGGCGATACCCACCTTCCTGGGCTCTGCCTCTCTTCAAGGACTAGGATTCAGGAGACCTATGCCTGTATTCCCAGCTGGGGAAACTGAGGTTCAAAGAGGAAACCATGGCGTAAGGCCCCTTAGCAAATCCTAGGCAATTATGGGGGGCAGATGCAGGGTAGGGAAGGTCTGGTTTGGGATCCAGTCCTCTGATTGCTGGCTGGTTAGGCTGGGGACAGTCGTGGGGGCAGTTGGAAGGAGAGGATGTTAAGATGGAAAATTACAAGATATATTTCTTTTTCTCCCAGTTTGACAAATATTTGTTGAGTGTCTCCTGTGTACAGGACTCTGAGCTGGGATTCTGGGAGGGCCAGGAAGGGAGGCAGAGGTCTGAGGATCTCCAGGCGGAATGGATTCAGGAAGAATTTGAGTCCATTTTTTTCCTCTTCCAATAATAGTAATTGTTATTATTGTTATTTAAAAAAAAAAAGAAACTTGTGCTCAATCATCTGCTCTATGCCAGGCACAGTACTAGGGCCTGATTCAGTTTAATCTTCCTCACATTCTAAGAGACTGATACTGTTACAGCCTTCCCAGTTTACAGATGGGAAAACTGAGGCACAGAGAAGTTAAGCAAATTTCCTGTTAAGTCAAACAGTTTGGACATGGCCAAGCGTGAATTTGAACCTAGGCTGTCTCCAAATGACTATATGCTATTAAAGAAAGGGGAAATTTAAAAAAAAAAAAAAACTTTTTAAGTAACACACTTTCGCTGTGGGAACACTTAAGATAATGCAGATAAACAAAAAGAAACTCAGGTGGGAAACTACCTTCCTGTACATTTATGGAAAACAGAGGCCCATGGAGAAGGGACTAGAATGAGGTCACACAACGACCACAGGCAGGGCTGGAACCCTGGGTGTGGGTCTGGTTCCCTACGCAGGGTTGCTTCAACTCCAAGAAGATTTGTAGTTTGGAAAGGTTGGGGATGAGGTGGGGTCGGGGGTAGGGTCACAAGTTTTATGGTATAAAGTGGCTATGGGGTAAGTCGGGGGAGGGGAGGAATGAAGGAAAGAGCAAGATTCCAGTCTGGAAGGTTTGAGTAAACCGGAGTCATTGGAGTGCTTGATTACCCCCAATGATGGGAAGCTCTCTCCCTTATGTTTTGACTATCAGTTCCCATGTATGGAGGGTTCTAAATTTGTTCCTTACAACAAATCCAGTGCATTATGGTTTCCGAGTGAGAAACTGAGATCCAGACAGGTGAAGCCACGCAGCAAGGAAGTAACTTGAACCCTCTTTCATTTACCAAGTGCTACAGTTTTCCAAAATATAGAGATAAGGGGGTGGAGGGGAATGAGTCCTAGGCTGACTGGGGTTAAGGCTCTCCCATGTCAGGTTGAGGGGTGCCAGGCCTCAGGAGACCACTGGAATCAGCTGGACCTGGTTTCAATCTCCTCTACTTTCTGGCTGTGTGATTTTCTGTTCTGGCTTATGCCTAGTTTATACACTTTTATTTTTTTGAACTTCAGTAATGAATTGGTTTTGTATAGGTAATACTAACCCAAGGGGGTGTGTGTGTGGAGATCATGTAGTTCAAAGGGGGTAAACTGTGTGAAATTTCCTCCCTCCCTGTCCCCCAGTCCCTTCAGAGGCAGCTACAGCCGGACTCCTGCATAGCAGCCTCAGGATATATCACCCCTCTGTGTGCGGATGTATTTATATCCTCCCCACCTTTTTTTTTTTAAACCTCTGATACACACCACTTGGTACCATGTCTTTTTTAAATTTAAAAAACTTAGCTGTTTTCTTATCTCTAAATGGGGTTAAGAACTCTGGGGGGAACCTGGGGAGGACGTGGGTTCAAATCCTAGCCCCTCTGCTGACCTGCTGTGTGACCTGGGGCAAGTGTGACCTCTCTGTGCCCTCATTTCCTCATTTCTCAGAAGGATACAGGGTCAGTGTCCATGTCATAAGGTTGTTTGTGGGGTTTAGTGTGGACATTGGAGCAAGGCGCCTAGAACAGTGTCTGGGACACGGGCTAACTGATAGTATCAGCTGCCGTTGTTAAGAATTTTCTGTTTAGAGATGTGTTTGTTGTTGCTAGTTGGTGTTGACTGGATTCTGACTATGGCGACCCCGTGTGTGCAGAGTGGAACTGTGCTCCATAGGGTTTTCAAAGCTGTGACCTTTCAGAAGCAGATCGCCAGGCCTTTCTTTCGAGGCACCTCCGGGTGGGTTTGAACTGCCAAACCTTCAGCTAGTAGCCAAGCACTTAATTGTTTGCACCAACAACCATTATGTACTTACTATGTGCTGGGCACCAGTCTAGGTTCTGGGGACACAGCAGTGAACAAAAGGGACAAAACTCCATGCCCTCGCGGACCTGACATTTTGGTGGGGGAAAGAGACAGTAATAAATTTTGGGTCAAGCAGGGCTGGGTGCTGTGAAGAAGTGTGACAGGGCAGTCAGGGAGGGCTTCTCAGGTGACTGTCTAAGCAGAGACCTGGGGGAGGTGAGAGGTGAGGATCCAGGCTTGAGGAACAACACAGGCCCTGAGGCAAGAGTGCTTCTTTCCTGTAGAAGGAGCAGCATGGAGTCCGATGAGGCTGGAACAGAGCTAGCGAAGGGGAGAGGGAGGAGAGGAAATCAAAGAGATAATGGGGGCAGATAATGGAAGGCCATGGTGAGGACTTGGCTTTGACTCTGCCAGAGCCAGGAGCCACGGGAGCTTCTGAGAAGGGAAGGGGAAGGATCTGACTTGCATTTAAACAGGATCCTTCTGGGATGGGGACGCTGCAGCCTGGAGAGAGGCAGGACCAGCCTAGGGTCACCCAGCTGGGGTCCGGCTCTCTGGCCAGGCTGGAGACTCAGCAGGGCAGGGCCACCTGGGAGAGCAAAGTGCAGCCAAGGCAGGGCAGGGACGGCAGCCCTGGGCGCCTGGCCAGAGTCTGCCGTGGGTGTGGATGGCAGGTGTGGGCGAGGCCTTAACCCTGCCCAGCCGGGGGCACCAGAAGCCAGAAACAGCCCTCGAGGCTGCGCTTGTCTGGAAACAGCACCTGGTGTTTGGGTAGGGCCCACGCAGTGGCCGGTGGTGGAGACTGTGGCCTTGGGAGCCAGGTGGCTTGGGTTCACATCCTCCCCCACCCTCGCCGCCCCCGTTGCTACTCACTCACTGTGTGACCTTGGGCAAGTCACTCAACCTCTCTGGGCTTCAGTTTGCAGGCCTCACCTGCATTCACCTGCATGAGGAGGATGAAATAGTGCCTACCTTGTGGGTACAGGGCTTAGGAGGGTGCCTGATAAGGGGGGCTACTATGATTATGTAAACTTGGGGTGCAGGGCTCGGTCTGCTGAGGGTCTTTCCCTGCCCTGCCTAAGGAAGAGAGAGAGGCCTTTTACAGCCACAGCAGAGACAGAGCCATTTGAGGGTATAATTTCTCTCCCCGGAAACCCCTGACCACTTCCTCTTTTCAGGAAAAAGCTGAGTGGGGGTGGGGGGTGGGGACAAGCACTTCCCCCAGGTCTTTGTATGACCTTGGGCAAGTCACTTCCGGTTTCAGAGCCTTAGTTTTCTCACTGGGGGAGGGGAGTGTTGAACCTCCCCAGAGGGACTGGTGGGGGGTCCAGAGGGAGGCAGCTGTGTGGGGTGCCCGTGGGAGCCCTTGATAGGGATGCTGACAGTGACTGAGCGCTCGATACGTGCCAGGCACTCTACTTGCCCGACTCCGGTGCTACTCCCCACTGTCCTGAGAGATGGGGACTGTTACTTCCCCAGTTTACAGACGTGGGAAGGTCTCTTGTCTGAGTCACATGGAGTAGATGGCTCAGCGGGGATTTGAACCCAGGTCTGGTGGACGCCAGATCCTGAACTCTGAACCAATTGACCCCTGAGGCTGAGTCAGATGTCACCCCCTCCAGGAAGCTCTCTCTGACTCCCCCAGCTGTCTCCCGCACTGGACTGTGAGCCCCGGGAGGGAGGGAACGAGGCTGTCTGGGTCACCCCTGTGTCTGTTGTCCCCAGTACCGCCCAGCATGGGCCTGACCCGGAGCAGCGTGTGTCTGCTGAATGGCAGTTAGCGCCCCGGGGAGCTGGAGGGATGGGGTGGACTGGAGGAGACACCTGACTTCCCCTGGGGGGAGAAGAAGTAGAAGAACCTGGAATCTGGACCTGCCTTGCTGCAGCCTCACACCCGTCCCCCCACGCCTCAGCCTCAGCTCCTCCTCTGCCGAGCGCCCTGGCAGAGAGGGGAAACTGAGGGCCCAGACTGCTTGGCCTCACTCTGTCCCTATTATCTGCATCTCTCTTTCCAGACTATCTGTCTCGGGCTCCCTGTCCATCTTCCTGTCTGTCCATCTGTTTCTGCCTGTCTGTTTCTACCCAATCTGTCTGTCTTTTAGTCTGTCTCTCTCCTTTTCTGCAGTCTGACTCTCACCTCCCTCTCCATGTCTGTCTTTCTTTCCTTGTCTGTCTTTTTTCTCTCTTCCCCCATTTGTCTGTCTCACTTTCTCTCTCCCGGTCTGTCTCTCTCTCTCCTGGTTTTTATGTGTCTCTTCTTGTCTGTCTCTCTGTCTAGCCTGTCTTGTTTTCCTCCCCCAGTCTCTGTCTTTGCCGGTCTGTGCCCCCCACCCCCACCCCCGCCCGCTGGCCGCTCTGTGTCTTTCTCTTCACCACACATTCTGTCTTGGTCCCTTTGAATCTCCCCACGATAGAGGAGGTGACCGGCCCCTGGAGGAGGGCCTGTGCCACCCCCTGGCTAACTGGCCCCTCTCCTTCTCTCCCTACTTCCCGGCAGCGAGACGGTCATCTGCTCCAGCCGGGCCACTGTGATGCTTTACGATGACAGCAACAAGCGGTGGCTGCCTGCCGGCACAGGTCCCCAGGCCTTCAGCCGTGTCCAGATCTACCACAACCCCACAGCCAACTCCTTCCGGGTCGTCGGCCGGAAAATGCAGCCGGACCAGCAGGTGGAGCCCCTCCTCGCTCCCTCCGGGCTGAGCCCCCCACCCCTCCCTCCGGGCTGAGCCCCCCACCCCTGACCCCGCTGCCTCTCGCTCACCTTCCCCTCCTGCCAGGTGGTCATCAACTGTGCCATCATCCGAGGTGTCAAGTACAACCAGGCCACTCCCAACTTCCATCAGTGGCGCGATGCCCGCCAGGTCTGGGGCCTCAATTTCGGCAGCAAGGAGGACGCGGCGCAGTTTGCCGCAGGCATGGCCAGTGCCCTAGAGGCGTTGGAAGGTCAGAAACAGCGGTGGGCCTGGGGCGGTGGGCCTAAGGCGGTGGGCCTGGGGCAGGCAGAGGGCCCCACGGATACCCGCTGTGTGGCCTGGGGCCACTGCTTCACTCTGGGCCTCAGTTTACCAAACCAGACCTGTTGCCGTCAATCAATTCCAACTTGTGGCAACCCCATATGACAGAATAGAACTAAGGTCCATAGGGTTTTTTTTTTTTTTTTTTTTTTGCTGTAATCTTTACAGTAGCAGATCACCAGGCCTGCCTTCTGGGGTGCTTCTGGGTGGGTTTGGTTAGTAGTCGAGCGCAAACCATTTGCACCACCCAGGGACCCGCAGCCTCAGTTTACTCATCTGTAAAATGGGGCTTATTCATTGCTACCATGGAGATTTATGATGAGGATTTAATGAACTCCTGTGTGCCCCCACGTATGAAATGTACAATTCATAAGGGTATAACTCAATGAATTTTTACACATGCACACTCCTGTGACTACCTTCCAGATCGAGTTCTAGAACATTCCCAGGCCCCAGAAGTCTCCTTGTGCCCCTTCCTAGTCAGTACCCCTTCCCCAGGTAACCACTGTGCACGTCATCATCAGTTTTCAAGCACTGAGATGGGAAAAGAAAAAGAACTCCCCAGTTGACCTTTCTTAAAGTCGCATGTACACCCGAGTCCCCTGAGGGTCTTGTGCAAATACTGAGCCTGGTCGAGGAGGCTGGGGTGGGGCCTGAGACAGTGTTTCTAACAGGCTTCCTGCGGATGCTGAGGCTGCTAGCCAGTGATGGACGGCACTTTGAGTAGCAAGGCTTTAGGTGGTTCTGCTACGTGTCCAAGGAGCCCTGGTGGCACAGTAGTTAAAGAACTTGGCTGCTAAGGAAAGGTTGGCGGTTCAAACCCACCAGCCACTCCGTGGGAGAAAGATGTGGCAGCGTGCTTCCGTAAAGATCACAGCCTTGGAAACCCTATGGGACAGTTCTACTCTGTCACATGGAGGCAGTGTGAGTCGAAATCAACTCGACAGCAGCAGTTTTGGTTTGGCTGTGTGTCTATGGAACGTGAAATCACCAAATGGCCGAGGCATTTGCTTCCTGGGGAAACTTCAGAGCTAGCAGGAAGGGGCTTGCACATCTGGGGGCACACAGAGAAATATAAGCGGGTCACGAGTGCTACAGGAGCCAGAGGGCCTGGGGGTAGGTTACTTGCTGAGTGGCAGTAACTGTGTTTAAGGGCCTGGACGCTGGAGTTGGCCTGAATTTGAGTCTTGTTCCTGTGAATTCCTGGATATGGCACTCTGGGCAAGTAACTGCCTTCTGGGTCTTAGTTACCACACCTGTCACTTAGACATAGCAGCCCCCACCTCACAGCAGCTCATCAGGGGGAGCTGTGCTGGGACCCTCATCTGAGTGTCAGAGGAAGAAGGAAGTGAGCGCCTCTGGGCAGGATTCCTGGGAGCCTGGGGCAGGAAGGTGTCAACAGGCAGGCAGGGCAGAGTTCCAGGGTTGACTCATCTCCCTGACTTTCTCCTTTCACCTCCAGGAGGGGCGCCCCCGCCACCCCCCACAGCACCTCCCACCTGGTCGGTCCAGAACGGCCCCTCCCCAGAGGAGGTGGAGCAGCAGAAAAGGTGGGGCCCTGTCCCTGGGCAGGGAACCACACCACGCCCAGAGTTCTAGGATGTTCCAGAACCCCTGACTCCCAAAGTTCAGAACCTGCCAACTTTCCCAGAAGACTAGAAACTCACATCTTTCAGAAAGCCCCAACTCTTGGAGTCCCAGAAGCTCTTTTTCTCTGATGGTTCAGAAATCCCTGATGCTCAGAGTAGAACCTCTTGGACCCCAAATCCCAGCCCTCCCTGTTCCCAGAGTCCAGAATCTGGTTAAAGAATCTTGGCCTTTTGTAATTCAGATGTTCTTGAAAGTTTGATGGCTAGAATGCTAGCAGTCCCTCCTACTCCTCCCCCATCCCTTTCTCCACCCCCTTCCTGGGCCCTGGGGAAGGAAGGCATGGGTGGGGGATTAGGAGCCAGCTTCCCCTAATCCCAGGCTGGCTGGAAGTGAAGCAGGGGGACGTCACTGGCCATTCTCGGGGCCCTAAGTGACCGCTGCTCTATTGCCCCCTCCTCAGGCAGCAGCCGGTCCAGCCGGAGCACGTGGAGCGTGAACGCAGGGTCTCCAGCACAGGTGATGGTTCTAATGGCCCTGGGAGTCGGGGGCCTCCCTGGAGGAGAGGGCGGGCTGGCTGGACAACAAAGGATGAGGTGTCTTTCAGCAACACCCCCTTTTTGTGTGTTTCAGGAGGCCCGCCTGCTCCCCCAGCTGGGGGGCCACCCCCACCTCCAGGACCACCCCCTCCTCCAGGTCCCCCTCCGCCCCCGGGTCTGCCCTCCTCAGGGGTCTCGGCTGCAGGGCAAGGAGCAGGAGGAGGCCCACCCCCTGCGCCCCCTCTCCCCACGGCACAGGGCCCCAGCGGTGGAGGGGCCGGAGCCCCTGGACTGGCCGCAGCCATTGCCGGCGCCAAACTCAGGAAAGTCAGCAAGGTGAGGGGCCAGGGGTGCGGGGCGTCGGGTGACTGGGGCCATGATGGAATAACGGGGTGAGGCCAACCAGGAGGCCATTCCAGAAAGTCCCCTCCCCTTTTAATTTTTCTAGCAGGAGGAGGCCTCAGCGGGGCCCGCGGCTCCCAAAGCCGAGAGCGGCAGGGGCACAGGTGGGCTCATGGAAGAGATGAATGCCATGCTGGCCCGTAGGTGAGCCTGATGCCCTGCCCCAGACCCCTCAGTCCCCTCAGAAAAGCTCCAGAGAAAAAACCCACCAGCCCACTGGGAACCTAACTGAAGCAGAATCACCTGGAGATGTTTTTGAAACACATCCCTGAAAATTCTAGCTCAGCAGAGCCAGGTGGGAGGAGGGGCCAGATTCCTGTTTGGTTTCTAGTTGTTAGTTAAGGAGCCCTGGTGGCTCAGTGGTTAAGTGCTCGGCTGCTAACCGGGAGAAAAGACCTGGTGATCTGGTTCCGTAAAGATTACAGCCTAGGAAACCCTATGGGACAGTTCTACTCTGTCATATAGGGTTGCTGTGAGTTGGAATCAACTTGACGGCACCCAACAGTTGTTAGTTGTTGTCGAGTCAACTCATGGGGACCCACGTGTGCAGCGTAGAACTGCTCCATAGGGTTTTCAAGGCTGTGACCTTTCAGAAGCAGATCACCAGGCCTGTCTTCCGAGGCACCTCTGGGTGGGTTCCAACTGCCAACCTTTCGGCTAGCAGTCGAGCGCTTAACCATTTGCACTGCCCAAGGGCTCCAGTTTCGTTTCTTTTGGTGAAAGTTCACCCTTCGATAGTCAGGTTTGGGATATAATGCTGGGGATTGTCATCTCCTGAAACGACTCACGTTTGTAACTGCCAAGATAGCTTTTAGAATGTTCTAAAACCCAGTGTTATAGAACCTTAGGAGATCCTGCCACAGAACTCTGCAAACTCAATTCCTAGAATCCCAGCATTCTAAAATAGAGCCCCCACCCCTAGAATTTTGTGATTCCTGAACATGAGACTCGTGGAACAACACTCTCTTTGACTTCTAAAACTAGGTCTCCTTAGCCTTCAGGAATGCCTGAACTTTAGACACTAGAATCCACAGTTCCTAGTCGGGAGGGGAATTTGGTGACTGGGGGAGAACTGAAGCCATCTGTTTTTGCCTTGCCCACCTGCAGAAGGAAAGCTACACAGGTTGGGGAGAAACCCAAGGATGAATCTGCCAATGTGAGTTAGGGGCTCTTTCTGTCTGACACACCTTAGGCTGTACCACTGGGGAGGGGTATTGGGAAGGGGGGGTTGATAGGGATGGGCTGGGTTTGAACCTGAAAGAGGAATATGAGCAGGGACTGGCTCCTGACAGTTTTATTTCCCACCAGCAGGTGGAGCCAGAGGCCAGAGTCCCAGCCCAGACTGGTGAGTGAGAGCCCAGTCTGGCTAAAGGAACTACAAATCCCAGGATGCCTTGTTTTCAGATATAAAGTACCCTAAGGAAGGGTTTGTGCAAACACTGCTGGGGATTGTAGTCTCCTGAGATGGTTCTTTGAATGGAGGTTGATGAGGGAGGCTGGGGGAGAAAGATTGAAGGGAGGTACTCCTCGTCCCTCATCTTTCTGATTTGTTGCCTATCCCCCAGAATCTGTGCGAAGACCCTGGGAGAAGAACAGCACAACTTTGCCAAGGTGGGCAGTTAATACCAGGGTCTCATCCCCCTAGAAAAGCTGAACTTGCCAAATTTATAGAGAGGAGCAACGTATGATGCCTGGAATGGGAGACAGGTCCTCGCTCTAACCCCAGATTTGCCCCAAACCACCCCAACTCTCTCAGGATGAAGTCTTCTTCTTCAGTGACCACTTCCGAGGCCCACCCCTCTACACCAAGCTCCAGTGATGAGACAGACCTGGAGAGGGTGAAACAGGTAACTTGGGGGAGGGGGCTGGGAGGAGGGTTGGGGGTAAAAATGGGCCACAGGAAGAGAGGGGGTCTGAGTCTGGACCCTGCCGCTGATCTCAGTTTTCCATTCTGAGAAATGGAGCAATTCTATCAGGTCAGGGATGACACACACCACTACAACATTTACCAGTGCCTGTGGCAGACCTTACTAATCCATCACCGCACTCATTCCTGATGAGTACCCAGAATCCTTTCCAGCACATGGCCCCAGACAGACATCCACCACTGATCAGAGCTGGCAGGAGCCTGGAATGTATTTGCCAGCCCTGGTACTGGATGTTCTCCAGTACTTTTCTTCTGGCTCCAAGGGTCCAGAATTCTTCTCTAAAATTCTCCAATCATTCTGTGACCTTGCCATCCATGTCATGGGAGGGGTGGGGTATCTTGAACCTCCTTTCTCTGGCCCATCAGTCAGTGAGAAGAGGGGATTTATTTCTGCAGTTCCTCAAGCCCCCTTCCCCCTGACTGGCTACACTCTCTTATTTTCAGGAACTTCTAGAAGAGGTGAGAAAGGAGCTGCGGAAAGTGAAAGAGGAAATAATTGAAGGTAAGTTTTTTTTTAACATTTATTTTGGAGAGATCCTGCCCCTTGGAATGAGCCTTGTTTTGGAAGGAAAGGGGGATGAGACTCTGCCTCTGACCTCTGGCCCTTGTTTCCTTCCAGCCTTTGTCCAGGAACTGAGGAAGCGGGGTTCCCCCTGACCACAGGGACCCGGAGGATCGCACTTCTCCTTTCCGCACACCCTGCCTGTCACCCAGCTTTTCCCTGCCTCGACTTGACTTGGAATTGGCTGAAGACTACACAGGAATGCATCTTTCCCACTGCCCATCCCGCTTGGAAAATTCCAAGGAGGTGTGGCTTCCTTGGTGCCATGCCCACACCCATACCGGCTGCTGATTGGCTGAGGAGGCCCCCACCCTCTGCTCCCTTTGGTCCTTCCCCTCTGCCATCCCCTCTGGGCTGGTTCCTCTACTGGGGATGTACCAATTAGCCCCACAGTCAGGGGGAAGGAAGGAGGGAATTACACATTCCCTGGTTCTACTTTCACTTTATCGCTTAATGCCTTCAATTTTTTTTTCTTTTTTTTTTTTTAAGAAAATAAATATATATATATTTGGGTTTTTTGGGGGGTGGGAAGGGAAATTTTTTTCGCTTTGGTTTTGATAAAATGGGGTATGGGGAGTTTTTAAATGCAATAGTCCCAGGCTTGTCCCATTTGGGGCAGCTATTTAAGGGGGGGGCTGTCCCTTCAGGTTGGGGGTCCCTCACCCCAGTCCAGGGACCTTTCCCCCTTCCCTTTGGCTCCTTCCCCTTTTCTATGAGGAATTAAGATGCTGTAACTTTTTGGAACCTCAGTTTTTTGGTTTTTTATTTGAGTAGGTTTTGGGGTCCAGGCCATTTTTACCCCTGGAGAAAATAAGATGAGGAAGAAAGGATAAAGGGAGGAAACCTCTCCTGCCTTCACCTTTAGCTTCTTGAAAATGGGCCCCTGCAGAATAAACCTGCCGGTTTTTATAAATGTGAAGATCTCTGGTGTGATTTGAAGGGCTGCTCTGATGAGGATAGAGGGGTGCCCATCCCTTGGCACCACGTATGGGAAGACTTGGTTCTCTCTGGAGCCCTGCAGTGCTTGGCTGCTAACCAAAAGGTCGGTGATTGGAACCCACCAGCCGCTCTGTTTGCAAAAGATATGGCAGTCTGCTTCCGTAAAGATTACAGCCTGCAGTTCTACCCTGTCCTATAGGGTCGCTATGACTTGACGGCAGTGGTTTTTTGGTTTTGGTTCTCTTTGCTGAGATCCTTGCCCTCCCTTCGGTCCTCTGCCTTCCACTCATCTTCCTCCTACTTGCCCAGCACCCAGCATAATCTGGGCCTCCACTCGCCCTTCCTCCTCAGGTCCCTTACCATGCAACTTCCTCCCCCTCCCCCATCTACTTCCCTACCCTGGAGGAAGGAGCCCGGGCAGTCTCTCATCAGCTGTGTGGCCTTGGGCAAGTCCTTTTGCTTTCCCTGGGCCTCAGTTTCCCACTGGGAAAGGGCTTATAGGAGAATTCTGCCCCCCTCCCATCAGAACCCACCCAGCTCCTCCCATTTTTCACGAGCCTTGTACCCATTCTGCAGCCGCACATCATGGTTCTCAGATACGTTTTTAAGATGACTTCTTCACCCCAGTGCGCTTTTAATTATAAAACATTTACAGTCTGAAAAAATTAGAATTAAAAAGTCAAAAGGCTCATAACACCCACCCACCTCTTCAGTAGGTTGGCAGCGGGTGGGGTGGGTAACACTGGCTGGTGGAATATTCCATTTGGGTGGGGTGGGGAGCTCCTGGATGAGAGGCAGGTAGCCCCATTAGAGGCCACTGCCATGAAGAGGGGGGGACTGTGGGACCAGTCCAAAGCCAGGAAGGAAAGAAGGGGATCCCTGAGTACTCTGAGGAATTGATCTGAATGGAAGATGGGGGTGGGAGTGTGTGTGGCAATCTGACCCATGCAGTGGGGGGGCAGGTGGGTCCCCATGAGCGATTACTGAAGAGGAGGAGACGGGTAAGGAAGGTAGAAAAGTCTAGGGGCTTTGGAGACAGGTAAATAGGGAGCTGAGATGGAAGGATAGGATGGATTAGCCCACGTCAGGATCAATTTTTCCACCCCAAGAGGCAAGTCCTGGAACAGACCACGGATGGGAGATAGGGTGGAATTGAACGGGAAGACCCCCCGCCATTCCAGTGGATTGTGCCACAGACTAAAGGATGGAGGGAAGATCTGTTGGAATAATCCACTTAGGTAGGGGAAGATCCCAGTCGAAGGTGGATTAGAGGCAGAGCGGCAGAGTGACTCATTGGAGCTAAGGCAGTCCAACAGCCTTGTTCTTGTCATTTTTTCCCCCTAACGAGTGTGGTTTGAAGGTGACGGGGTAGAGAAATCCATTGGAAGTTTCCGCATTTTCATTACACCGGTCTGTACCAATGAGGACGAAGAAGGGGGCGTTCTTGTGTAATGGAGGAGTGTCCCAGGAAGGGACCACCCCTCAGGTAAATGGGGGTGTGTGCGACAGAATGAAAGGTGGGTAAGTCCAGTGGCAGGATGCGATTTTGTTTTGCCAAAAAAGTGAGAAGGATGTCCTGATGGGCCCGAATTTGTGGGGTGGGGTGCATGGGAAGACACCGCCTTTCCATTCCAATGTGCTGAACCAACGGGCTAGGGGAGTGGGGTGTCCCTGTTGGAATGTTCTACCAGGGGGTGTGGAGGTCCTAGTGGCAACTAAGCAGGGTAGTAGGGAGGTTACCAAATGCTTGTTGGAGCAGCCCCAGTCCAGGGTTCCCTTTGCCCCCACAGGGACCAGGAGGGGCCATTTGGGTCAGTCCAGGCAGGGGAAGTGCGGAGAGAAGGCCAAGTCGGACGTCGCAGCCCTGACAACTGTTAGGTCAAGGCCTCCTATTTCGCAGGCTCTGCCTAGTACACGGGCGGTGCCAGGGGCGTGGCCGGGCATGTGGGCGGCGCCGCGGGCGGTGCCAGGGGCGTGACCGGGCATGTGGGCGGCGCCGCGGGCGGTGCCAGGGGCGTGACCGGGCATGCGGGCGGCGCCGCGGGCGGCGCCAGGGGTGTGGGTGGGCATGCGGGCGGTGCCACGGGCGGCGCCATGGGTGTGGGTGGTACCAGGGGCAGTGCAGAGGGCACGGGCGGCGCGTCCCGGGCGCCAAGCTGGGTGCGCATCTCCTGCAGCTGCGCTCGCAGCTCCTCCAGGGCGCTCTGCGACGGCACCGCCCGCACCCGAGCCTGCAGAGTCTCCAGCATCAGCGACAGGCGGTCCACCTCGTCTTGCAGTGTGTCCCAGGCGGCGCTCTGCTCCAGCTGCTTGTGGCGCTGGTGCCTCTGGTGGCGCCAGAACTCGAGCACCAGGCAGCCGCCGGCCACAAGGAAGATGGTGGCCTCGCCCAGCAGTTCGGCGCCCAGCTCGGCGGCTGCCTCCTCGTTCAGCGGTTTGATGGCTTCACCCCGTAAGCCCATGATGCGCATCTTGGTCCGCATCTCCACCCAGTGGTACACTGTGGGGTAAGACAGGAGTCGGGCCGCGCTCGGGAAGTCCCCTGCAAGCCTGCCCCTCCGCGCCTCGGTGTCCCCCCCGTCGGAGCAAGGGGGACGCGGTGGCCAGCATCACCAGGGTGGGTTGAGGGTGCGAAAGGCGCTTTAAAACAAGACCTGCGCCTGGCCCCACCCTGGGGATGTCAAGTCACCCAGCCTGCGCTGGACGCGAGGGCGTCTTTTAAAAGCGCCCAGAAGATTCTCAGGAGCAGTCAGGGATGAGAAACCCAGCTCTGGAAGGGAAGTCCTCAGACTGGGGGCCACGTACCTGGAAGGGTCACAGGAGCTCCAGGAGCGACGTCCACGGAAGGTGTAAAGCTGGCTCCCGCTGCTCCTTCCACAACCCCCACCCTCATCCCCACCCCCACCCCGCGGGCCAGCAGGGCTTCTCCCTCCTCCCGCTAAGGTGAGGCTGGCGGTTCTGGGCTCCAGAAGCACGTTTACTATGCAGGTTTTGGCACTTACCTTGGAAGGCGCTCAGGGGTTGAGCGACGCTACTCTAAGGAGAACCCCTTCCTACCTAACCACTTATTCATGTGAACAAGGCTTCTCAGCCTTTGCATCGTTACAAACGCGACAGAGGAGTAGAACTGATGCTGGAACTCTGGGTGGATTCGAACCGTCAACCTTTAGGTTAGTAGTGAAGCGCAAACTGCTTCAGCAACCCAGGGACCTTTTGACTCACTCCAGCACTAATTAATATTCATCCATGGATACATGAGCTGATTGGGTGGAAAAGCCCCATCCAGCTCACTGCAAGATGAATTTCTGATAACGTTTTATATTTCTCCCCTTCCAATTATCCTCCGCAGCAACCACACTGTGATATCTTAAAATAGTCACCCTTTCTTCCTTTTAGTTAGAAAAATAAAATTTGTATATGGGGGGAATTATTTATACAACATAGAAGGGAGTAAATTTGAAAACAGAAGTCTGCCTTCCCGCCTCCAGCTTTTGTCCTGCTCCTCAAAGGTTAACCAACTTTAGATCCTTTTTGCATTTATTTCTTCTACTTTAACCTTATGATAAAAAATAGTAAGTTGGTTGCTTGACTAAACTGAATTTTTAAAAATATTATGTGTTGAAATGGCAAATGTTTTGTTATATATATTTTTACCACATTGAAGAAACATGACTTGATTTTCCACTTCCACCTCCATGACGAAACATATGGAATACTTTATCTCCTTCCCTCCACCCTCCCAATTTTTACAAATGATTTTTATCTTTATTTTTTACTGTTTATTGGTAACTTTTGACATTCTAAATAACATGCCTATTACCTCAACTTCCTGACACCTGTACCTGTAAGTACATTAACTGCCCTACCCTGCCTTCCACTCTCTTCCTCCACTTCACCACCCATGGTCTGTCTGCTATAGTATTATTTTTATCACATTAAGGTGTCTTAGGTTATAGTAAGTTTTCAGTATTTTTTCCATAAGCTGAGTCTAAAAATGGAAATATAGAGCATGTATAATATTAAGATTATGTAAACACTAATCACTATGGATCCATAACAAAGATGTAATTTTATTTCACTAAACCAGTGCCATTGGAAGCATTAACATTAAATGGCAGCTTGAAACATTCATCAGTTGCTTCACTTCGTGCCACATTTTAATTTTCTCATATTTAGACCTTGATTTTACTGTACAAAGCATTTAGTTTTCCCTAGAGCACTGTTTCTTAAACTGCCAAATGTGACCCACAAATGTTTAACTCACCATGTAACCAGGATCATCCAGCGTCTTGCTCCTGTTCTTTTTATTAAATAGTTGATTGTGAACAGTGTCTGCTCTCTGGGCTGTGGCAGGGCTGTCCTCCCAGGATATCTTCAAACTGTTCTCCTTCACACTGTAGGAAACCCATGTCCTCCTCTTTGTTGAATTCCACTTGCGTTTTGCTGAAGTATATCCTTAAGTACCTTTTTCAGAAAGGATGCTTGGTAGGTTAAGTGTTTTGAATCCTTGTATGTTTGAAATCTATTTTTCCACCTTCACAAGAAACTAGATGACAGTTTCTAGACCCAGAATTAGTGGTTCAAAATCACATTCCCTCCAAAGCTTGGAGGCCTGGTTCCATTACCTGGAGTGGGGAGAAGTGCTTTTCTTCATCTCTTTGGCACTGACATTGCACCGAGTGAGTCTCTCTCATTTCCCTTACTTGCCACTCTTCTGTTTGAACCCAGTTTCTCGCTTTAGTCCTGGGAATTTTTCTTGTCTTATGCATTTCCTCCTCTCCCTTTTCTCTTTATACTCTTCTGGAACACTTCCCAGTCAGAGGGTGGCTCTCCGGCACTGACCCTCCACTGCTCTCGACTTTCCTGTTTATCCATCACTCCTCTTTGCTCCATGTTCTGGGCACTGTCACTAACTTTCCTTTCAGAACTTCTACCATTTTCTCTTTTAGCGACCATGTTTATGATTTCCATTAAATCTTCCTTTGTAAAAAATTTTATTATAAAACATTCCAAACATACAGGCAGGTTTAGAGGCTCCACCTAGCTTTATCAAGTCTTCATTTTGATAAGTGAATTAATTGCAAATGTTGAGAATGTAGTCAGTCATGTTAGTCATACTAACATGAAGCTGTGGAGCAGGGTGCCTGGCCAAAGCCAAAATTGAGGCAGGACTGACCCTGGGGACTGACTCCCAGGAAGTGTCTCTCCTAGAGCCTTCTACTTTCTCCTCTCCTTCCCTACAGCCACTGCCCCAGTCCAGCCTCTCTTCTTCCACCGGGCTGCTGGTCTCTCTGCCCCAGTCTTGCCCCCTCCAATCCAGGCCCCCAACAGCAGCCAGAGGGATCTATCTAAAGCGCAAATCTGACCCTGACCTTCCTCCTGCTCAGAACCTGCCATGGCTCACAGTGCCCTTGGGATAAACGCCAAAATCTTTAGCATAATTTTGAAGACCCCTATACATCTCTCCAGACTGATGTTTAGAATGAACTAGCCCCTCCAATGCTCCCCAAGCCTCTGCTATTTTCCATAAAACAAAACCAAACCCATTGCTGTCGAGTCGATCCCGACTCATAGTGACCCTATAGGACAGAATAGAGCTGCCCCATAGGGTTTCCAAGGCTGTAATCTTTACAGAAGCTGACTGGCACACCTTTCTCCCGAGGAGCAGCTGGTGTGTTCAAACCACTGACCTTGTGGTTAGCGGCTGAGCACTTACCCACTGCGCCAGCAGGGCTCCTTGCTATTTTCATAGACTGTTTGATTGTCTGTCTGTAATTTATCTAAATGATTCAGTAGACACCACATGATGGAGACATGCATTCGTTCCTTTGACGCTACACCCTTGGGGCAGGTACTTAAACAGCAGCAGGACCCTGATCAAAAAGACTTGCAGGGAGGTCATTCACTTTGGGAAGACAGGAAGCAGAAGTCCACACTCCAGGGCAGGCCAGGACAAGCTTCTGTTAGATGAATGCAAACTGTTGACGAGGTGTGTAAAAACATCCCAGCCTCTGGTGTGAGGAACCCTACTGGCTGCCCCGATGGGCAGGGTCAAGGTGAAAACCCTGGGACTGGTTCAACAAGGCAGCTCAGTGCCCAAGTCCTGGGCAGGATCCACACTTCTCCCTGAAAGAAGGTATCATAACCATCACTAAACAGCAGACAGATGATCTACTACTCTAACCTTGACCTGGGAACAAGTCAGACTCAAGCCGGGCCAATTTCAGAATCAATATATCCATGTACACAGACACGTGCATGTGCATACACACATGCATGCACACAAAAAGCTTTTGAAATTATAATTGGGATTAACTTGAATCTATAAATCCGTTTGGAGAGATCTGACATGTTTACAGTATTGAATCTTCCAATCCGTGAACATGCCTATCTCTCTTTATTTAGGTCTTTTACGTTTTATCTGGATTATGCTTTGTAGTTTTCAGAGTAGAGGTCTTGCATATATCTAGGTCAGTTTATTCCTGTGTATTAGAGATTTTTGGATACTATTTTGAATAGCATCATTTTAAAATTTCCTTTTCTATTTGTTTGACTATAGAAATGAATTGATTTTTCTATACTGACTTTGTATGCAGTGACATTGCTAAGTTAATTTTTATTAGTTCTTGTAGTTTGTAGATTCTTTTAATTGTACATATATACTCTTGTTGTTGTTGGATGCCGTTGAGTTGATTTTGACTCACAGCAATCCTATGTGACAGAGCAGAACTGCCCCATAGGGTTTTCTTGGCTGTGATTTTCCCAGAAGCAGATCGCCAGGTCTTTCTCCCACAGAGCCACTGGGTGGGTTCGAACCACCGAACCACCAACCTTTTGGTTAGTAGCCAATCCCTTAACCATTGTGCCACGAGGGCTCCTTACGTATATAACCTAGTCATCTGTAAATAAGAACTTTTTTTCCCTTCCTTTCCAATTCCTTTGCCCTTTATTCCTTGGCTCCTTTGCAATACCGGAGAAGAAAGTATGATATTTGCAGTAGGTTTTTATCAAATTAAGGAAGTCCCCTCTGTTCCTAGTTTGCTAAGAGTTTTTACCATGAATGGGTGTCTATTTTCATCAGATACTTTCTCTGCACCCATCTAAATGATAATAAGTTTTCTTCTTCAGTTTTTCTTGTAAATATGGTGAATTACATGAATGATTTTTTTTTAAATCCACACTTGGATTTCTGAAGTGGAGCCCTTTTGTGTGATGTATTTTGCTTTCTATATATTGTTGGATTTGCTTTGCTAATATTTTGTCGAGGATATTTGTGCCTGTGTTCATGAGAGAGATGGACTGTAATTTTCCATTCTTGAAAAGTCATTGTCAGATTGGGGTGTCAAGGTGATACTGCTTCAGAAAAGAAGCCGGGGTGTGTTGCCGACTTTTGGTCTCTTCAGGAAGGGTTCATGAAGGGTGCATAGTGGATTGGAATCAACTGTACTGTAAAAATATCAATCATCCATAGATTCATACAATACCAATCCAAATCTAAGCAGGATCCCTTAACTGATTTAAAATGTATATGGATTACAAGGCTAAACATAGGTTTATCATATGATCCAGCAATCATGCTCCTAGGTATTCACCCAAATGAGTTGAAAATATATGTCCACATAAAAACCTGCATAAGAATGTTGATAGCAGCTTTATTCATAATTGCCCCCAAACTGGAAGCAAGCAAGATGCCTTTCAATAGGTGAATGGATAAACAAACAGCGGTACATCCATGCAGTGCAGTATTACTCAGTGGTAAAAAGAAACGTGCTATCAAGCCCTGAAAATACCTGGAAGAAGCTAAAATGCATATTGCTAAGTGAAAGAAGCCAGTCTGAGAAAACTACATACTATATGGTTACAGCTATGTAACATTCTGGAAAAAGCAACAGTATAGACAGTAAAAAGATCATTGGTTGCCAGGGGCTGAGGAGGGGCAAAGGATGAACAGGTGGAGCCCGGGGCATTTTAAGGGCAGTGAAACTGTTCTGTGTGATACTGCAATGGTGGACACATGACATTATGCATTTGTCAAAACCCACAGGACTGTACAACACAGAGTGAACCCTAATGTAAACCAATATTGGTTTATCAATTGTAACAAAGATACAACACAAATGCTAGATGTTAATAGGAGCATTGTGCAGTGTGAGGGGGGAGAGGGAGGATATGAGAACTCTGTGCTTTCTGCACAATTTTTCTATAAATCTAAAACTTCTCTATCCATCAGCCTGAGACCAGAAGAACTAGATGGTGCCCGGCTACCACCAGTGTCCACCCTGACAGGGAACACAACACAGAGTCCCTGACAGAGCAGGAGAAAAGTGGGATGCAGAACTCAAATTCTAGTAAAAAGACCGGACTTAATGGTTTGACTGAGACTGGAGGAACCCCGGAAGACATGACCCCTGGACTCTCTGTTAGCCCAAAACTAAAACCATTTCTGAGGCCAACTCTTCAGACAAAGATTAGACTGGACTATGGGACATAAAAGGATACTTGTGAAGAGTGTGCTTCTTAGCTCAAGCAGATACATGAGACTAAATGGGCAGCTCCTGTCCAGAGGTGAGATGAGAAGGCAGAGAGGGTCAGGAGCTGGTTGAATGGACATGGGAAATCTGGAGTGGAAAGGAGGAGTGTGCTGTCACATTATAGGGAGAGCAACTAGGGTCACATAACAATGGGTGTATAAATTTTTCTATGAGAGACTGACTTGAATTGTAAACTTTCACTTAAAGCACAATTTTAAAAAAAAAGGTGTATGCAAAAAAAAGAAAAACAACTGTTTTAAAATAGTAACTAAAAATTAACTTTGCATGTCCTACATGTTAATGTTTTACATATGTTAATAAATCATACATCAAAAATAAATACATAAATAAATTTTGGTTCTCTAAAGCCACTCACTTGTAGTATTTCTCTCCCTTGCCCTTAGGCAGTGTTACGGACTGAATTTGTGTCTCCCAAAAATACGTGTTGGAATCCTAACCTCTATACCTGTAGAGGGGCCCTGGTGGTGCAGTGGTTAAGAGCTTGGCTGCTAACCAAAATGGTCAGCAGTTCAAATCCACTGGCCACTCCTTGAAAACCCTATGGGGCAGTTCTACTCTGTCCTATAGGGTAAATATGAATCAGAATCGATGCAACGGCCACAGTTTTTTGTTTTTGTTTTTTTAATACCTGTGGGAGTCTTTGGGTGGCACGATCGTTAAGCCCTTCCTGACTACTAACTAAAAAGGTTGGTGGTTTCAAACCCGCCTGGAGGCTCCTCCTTACAGCATCACTACAAAACTAATACAAGCAGGCAGACTTGACCTTGGTCCCTTGTCAAACGGGCCTGGGACTGCTAATTTCAAGGTGCCGTGACTGTTTGTTCTCATCCCAGCTTTTTGCCAGAAGCCTATTTAACCTCCTTGTTGTGAAATAACACCTGGAAGAGAGACTGGCCAGGGCTGAGAACTCTTTCCTCCCAGCAGCCTAATGATGCTCCCAGACTTCGGCATGGGTGGAGGGAGCACGTCCACGAGGGGACCCTGAGAAGTCACTGAGGGTCAGTTAGAAGGCAAAGAGGATTCAGACAGAACAGAGGACTGACAAAGTCAGGCCCTCGCTCAAAATGGGGGAGCGTGGCTACGACTTGTGCTGACAGAACTCAAAGATGATAACAGTACATTTCTTTCCTATTTTAATAAAGGCCAAAGATGAAGAAATTGAAGACTTCTACCAACTTATGCAGTCTGAAATTGATCGAACATGCAATCAGGATGCATTGATAATTACTGGTGATTGGAATGAGAAAATTGGAAACAAAGAAGAAGGATCAGCAGTCGGAAAACATGACCTTGGTGATAGAAACAATGCCAGAAATCACATGACAGAATTTTGCAAGACCAACGACTTCTTTATTGCAAATACTTTTTCAACAACATAAATGGCGACTATACACGTGGGCCTCGCCAGATGGAATACACAGGTATCAGATCGACTACATCTGTGGAAAGAGACAATGGAAAAGCTCCATATCATCAGTCAGAACAAGGCCAGGGGCCGACTGTGGAACAGACCATCAATTGCTCATAAGCAAGTTCAAGCTGAAGCTGAAGAAAATTAGAACAAGTCCACAACAGCCAAAGTATGACCTTGAGTATATCCCACCTGAATTTAGAGACCATCTCAAAAATATATTTGACACACTGAACACTGATGACCGAAGACCAGATGAGTCGTAGAATGACATCA